AGGAGCTTTCTCACGTGGGATTCGTGAGCATGACTGTGGATCAAGCAGCGCAGTTCTACAACAACGGTCACGGGAAGCAATTGTGCGCATCCCGGGATGTGATCGTGTGCCAGAATTCCGAGGGAGTCGAGGAGAGGATGTCCATCTTCGTGATAGGCAAGGATCTTGGCAATGTGGCATATTCGTCCTGGATCAAGAGTGTGCTCGACCAAGGAACGATGTATGAACTCCTGGGACAAACCACGAACGAGGAATCATTGGGAGACGTCGTCGAGATGGTGTTGGGATTCTTTGAGGTGATGTCGTACTTCCAGCACGAACTGCCACTGTGGAAGGATGCATGGAAGATCAAGTGGGAGTTCGAGCAGTCAATAGTGCGACACCTCGCTGGGAACGTGACCCACACGACGGGCCAGAACAGAAAGCGGAACAGACCGTCCGCACAGCTCGGCGTGCCCACGAAGGAGGTGCTTGACATCATGAACAAGGTCAAGCCCAGACATCCACGATCCCTGATCACCGAGCCCTCTGCACAAGGTTCCAAGAGAAAGGCCACGGAGGGCGAAGACGAGGGTCTTGGTCAAGCACCAGACCCGAGTCGAAGTTCTCAGACCAATACTGAGAAGGAAGACAAGAAGCAGCGTGTGATCGACGGGCGGAGAGCGGCACTAGGATTCCTGGAGTCAATTAAGAAGTGCGCGAACCTGGCCCACGACGGCGACTGCAAGGACATTGAGGAGGCTGCTGGAAATGAGAAGGCGATGAAGGTGCTCCGTGAGCTACTCAGCAGTGACCCTATTTCATCTGATGAAGACATGGGGGATACGGAGGAACCGTCCTCATCAACGTCCAAGGAAAGAAAGAAAGGGGGACAAGCAGGGAAAGAAACAATTGAGATGTACAGCTACACCATTAATTTGGTGGAGATGGCTGACACGGCTGAGGGAGGAGAGCTACAATGTGGTGGCGTCGACCTCACCTACAACCCGTGCGGGGACAACAGGACATTCAAGAAGACGCTTGAGATGGGGTGCGACACCATCCCGTGCTACATCCCGAAGTATGGCGATGTGAGTGATGTGCACTTGCCATGGGCGTATGCGTCCATCGTTGACCCCAAATACTTTCCCAAAGGTGCAATCCTTGAGCAAGTGGACGTGATGCAACTTGGCAAGAGTGACAACTTCTGCATTGCTCCTTTCGACGGTGCTCCACTATGCAGGATTGGTGATGATCGCTCGGTATTTACTACAAGGGACCAAGCAAACCAGCTATCTCACGACCTATGCCGAGTCCTTCGACACAAGATCGGCAATTGCCGAGGAAGTGCTTTCAGGTGCGACGAGGGTGGATGGGTCGACATTGATGCTGTCATTGACGACCGGAACAACGCCATATTCCCACCATACACCACGAGAGCGAAACGATACATGGGCATCATGGAGGTGATCAAGTGGCAGGAATCCGGAAGCAGAAAATCGAGATTCCAGGTTTTGGCAGCAAGGTTTCCGAGCATCATGAACCCGACCGACACGAGGGCAGCCAGGGAGGAAATGACCGAAGCTGGCGTGGATCGGGACGACATCGACAGGATGTTCAACAGATGCGATGGATGGTACAGACCTTGGTGCATCCGAGTCACAACTGGTCACAGTGATTTTGGATTCATGAGCTCATCCGCGCTGGCGAATAGGTATTCCGCAAGAATGGGTGATTCTCTCGGAGGAGCATTCCATGTGACGTATGTGGAAAACCTGCCAAGCATCGTACGCTGTGGGTTCGTCCCCGGCGGAATCGATGGCGGCAACAGGCTAGCACTGCACTTCGGGGCGTTTGCTCCATGGGATGAGATGAACGTGGCGACGAAGACAACGCTACGGAACGTGAGGAGAGGGGATCCGATTGCGATCATCTATATTCCCAGTGCAACCCCCGCGCGGTATGGGGCTGGAGTCGCGGCTAATGGGACTTTCATGGTCTTTGACGTGATCCCGTTCTATGAGGTCAAGTCCATTTGGATTGGCAAAAGCAACGGCGGGAAGCGCCTGGAGTACGCTGACATCAAGAGGGCGTACTCGAAGTGTGTGGAGAACGAGATCTGCCCTGGCTTTGTCAACTCTTCCCAAGAGTCGGCTGCGATGTTCCTCCAGAACGTCGCAAAGATCAGCGAGAGGATGCCGGAGACTGAGACAGGTGCCGATAATCTGCACTACATCGTTGACATGGTTTATCGTGCCTGCGAACTCTATCGAATCAACAAGATGGAAGAGTTCAATGCACAGGTCAACGAGGTCCGGGACGAAATCAGCAAAGTCGTCATCCTGAATGACGAGACATGGGAAGGACTGAGGTGCCGGATATGTCCATCATGTGCGACCGCGATCCCCACCAGCTTCTGCTTATGCCTGGAGTGCGAGGCACAACTGATCTCCATCGGAAGATACTACATTCACATCAAATCCGATGACGAGGAGGACAACCAAAACCCCAACGTCTCTGGAGATGCCAGGCGAGCACAGGAAGAAGCTAACCACGATGCGGCAGCACAGGAGGATGAAGACGAAGCGGAGGAAGTTCCGGGAGAAGATGACGACATGGACACGCAAGGATATACATCCGGCTATGCGTCAGAAGAAGAAGACAGCGGTTGGCATTACCGCGACACCGATCTGGCGTCACGGGACATTATAAGTTCCAAACGGATGGCGATCTGCCTTGACGAGCCGCGTGAGGCTCAGTACATGGCAGGATTTATCGCACTCCAGCTGTCCAAGATGTGGGGGATGTTTGAAGGTGGTGAGGAGAGAACGATGAATGCCGGACTCGAAGGGAGGCCGGGCTGCCCTTATCACAAAGACTTCAAGAGGTACCCCAACATCACCGAGCATGATCAGGAAGGTATACTTTTGCCATCAACAATAACGAAGATTTCTCAATCGGAGAATGTTCGGACAAGAGCCTTCCGATCGGTTGAGGAGCGTGACGAATATATTCGTATGATGGTGTGCAAATGCGAGGGACTTTACACATTCTACAAGCTGTGGATTGCAGCGAGAATCCTCGATGTCACCAAGGAAGAAATGAAGCTCCTGGTCAAGGACCGAGTGCACCCGGTGGGTGATATTTTTTTCAGATGTTTTGCACTAGCTTTCAACTGTAAGTATATATCATTCGTGAGGGATGGCCTAAACCTTGGCAAGAATGGTTACACGGTCAACGTGAGCGCCATCATCTCGGCCATCGACCCGAACAAATGCGACACACCCCTGCTGGATTGGTGCCTTCGGAAAGGGCACTGGTTGCCAGAGGACTACAACAAGAAGTGTGTCCGGGCACGAGAAGCCCAGAAGAACTTGGACGAGGAGTTCCGCCGACGTACCCATAGGCTGTCCATTGGGGACAGGTATGCTTCGTGAAGATGATGATTGCGGTACGATGTGGGCCAGTCCCCATCTGTTACTTGCGTCACATCGACACTGTATCGGTGGAACGACTTATGTCATGATTTATATTCATGTGTCCAAGATGATTGGGTGTGTACATGGTTACATATTCCGATGACTATGACGCTCTGGATATTCATGGATGGAACTATTACCTTATAGATGATATCTTTTTCATTATTTATGCATTGTCCATGGTATCTGGAATGGCTATGATTTGCATTGATTACTCACCGATGTTTCTTTGCCGGAATTATGCAGACCGATTGCGAGCAGGCGCCTCTGGTGGACTTTTTTCGGCCAACCCATTTATGGATGACAGCTGCGCGATGCGCAAATGCGGCAGCTGGATTGTTCATTGGTGGTCAAATGACGTGACGATTGTGTATTATATACACCTGCATATGGATGTGTGCTTCGATTGGAGGATGAATGTTTCACTTTTCGTACAATCGAACCCGGCATGTATCACAGCGAATGAACGGTGTAGTGATAGCAAGTAAAAGAATGCACGACACGATTTCGTAGTTGAAGCCGTGGCCAGTGGAACGTTTTGTGGTGTTTGGACCGCATGATGAACAATGCGACCCAAATGGGGGATGTTAAATCCCTCTAGGCCCCGTGCCGAAATTGGGTAGCTGTTCTGAGGTCCTTGTTGGTGTTGCTTCCCAAGTTCCATTGATCGCCATTTGGCTCAAGACACAATTGAGGTTCAAGATCTGATGTGTGACTGCACACATACGTGATCGGCATTGAGAGCGAAAACACATCGCTTGCGCTGCATTTGTCAGGACTACTGTTGTAACTATCATTCCTTCTCCCTTACAACGTTTACACGGGTTCGGCTATAACGGCATCGTCCGTATACACCTTTCTACGTGGATGGTATTACAGCTTGAGGGTTCGGTGCATAGCGTCCCACGGGACGTCACCTTGCCGTCTCTTGGGACAGTATGGTATGTATGAATGTTATGTAAGTTGTATGTATGTATGTATGTATGTATGTATGTATGTATGTATGTATGTAATGTATGTATGTATGTATGTATGTATGTATGTATGTATGTATGTATGAAATGAATGCAATGGATGAATGTATGAAAGACGTCCAAAAACATGGAGTTTGTCCAGATTTTTGGCAAAAGGATGTAGGAAGCCCAAGCCAGCAAAAAAGCCGGCAGGGGGAATCGAGCCTGGGACCCGAAAAACCATGCGTATTTGACGTGTCCCGGGGGGGGACTAAGGGGGGGGTTATCCTCTATCCTCTCTTAGGTATCCAATAGTCCTCTCTTAGGTATCCGACACGCCGAGCAATGTCGGCGGACTTGTGAGTTGTCCCGTGTCTTTTTTGGGTGTGTGTTGTTTTAGGATGGTGACCCTTGTTTGTTTGTTTTTTTTTTGGGGGGGGGCCAAAGAAGAACTTTGTTTGTTTGTTTGCTTTTTTTGGGGGGGGGCTTCCCCCAAAGAAAGACTCGCCCTTTTGAATTGTCTGGGAAGCAATCAATTTTGACCGTGGCTCTGTGTGATTTGCTGAGTTCTCTAAACCGCCAGCTTCAGGTGGTCCAGAATCGCCGGAAGGGTACCGCCCCAGACAGGCGCAGGGAAGAACGCCCCAAAGCTCGGGTCGCGTGCGGAGGATCCAGGGACCCTCTGAACAAATGTGGGTGTGGGCCAAAATTCAACCACTAGGGGACCGCAGGTTTTAGTCCATGTTTCCATTTACTAAGGTTCCATTTTGGGTACCTATTTTTGAGCCACAGCCATGTAATTACTTGCTGATGCAATAGGCAGGGAATGAGGGAATGAACCTAGGGATTCCCTCAAAGAGACCACAAGGGATTGTTTTCCCACATTCCCTTCTGAGCACCAGCAAGATTGGGGAGTTGGACGTTATTTTCTTCTCATGTCACTGTACTAATTAGGGGTGGTTCCATTTAGCCAGGAAATCATGTTTTTTATGTTTCCTTCTTTTTCTGGGGGGGGGGGGGGGGGTTCCGCTACAATGGGCCTCAAAAAGGGTACCCACAAAAAATACCCAATCCCATGACCATTTGCCCTTGCGCTCGGACTTGGAAGTTCCGGCGCAAGGTCCCTGAGTTGGATTCCAACGATTCTCGTCCTTTTTTGTTGGGTGGGTCCCGACACTCCATGGACAATCGGCACAGAGGGTACCCTCCTGTCCACGTTGCCACCCGAGGATCCCTTTGAAGGAACGTAATCTTCCAGGACCGATTCCTCATGTGTTGCTACCACGTTTGCTTCTTGGTGGTTCCCAGCCATCCCCTTCGGCTTTGGGTTTTTTCAGGGTTTAGTTGCGGTTTCCATTCTGTTTTAGCAGGGGATCTGAGAACAGCTTTTTGTTCTACCACGTTCTCTTGATGTCTTCTTTATGTAATTTGCGATTGGTTTGGACTGAAGCCGAAAGGAAACCACCCCAGAATGAGGGGGTCCCCCTATTTTGACACATACTCGTTTAAAGTTTACAGAGCCCACGGACCCGCTGCGTTCATTGCAAGACTTGACACCATTCTACCCTCTTGCCCTCTTGTTTGTTCTTCATTCATCTCCATTCCCCTTCCAAACAGCATAACCAGCAACGATGTTACTCTTTGCAGATCGGATCCATCTAAGTGCTAGGAAACAAGGGGTCTCCTCCAAAACTATTTTATAGGTGCCCCTTTTCAGGGAGAAACATGCGGGCTCCTAACTTCGGGTTGTCTCGTGCCAAAGGGCTCGGTCTGCGCTAGGCGTACCGACTTCCCCGAGCTGCGACAGGAGATGTGAGAGACGGATATGAGCATTGCTCCGAGCCACGCAAATACATTGGGAGGTTGGTCCACTGGTAGGTGGTTTACCACTAACTTTTCAGAGGGCTTCATCTATCCTAAGCGGTGCGAAGTGGATGTTGTCTCCACAGTATGTTCGGATTCAGCTTCCTTGGGACAAAACCTCCTTGGGACCAAACACTTGGCCCATGAAACAGATTTCAGACAAGGAGAGTCCCCGCTCACCAAAAAAGGCCCTTTCGCCTTGGGGGTTCCTTTCTGGGCGCTCCTCAAATCTTCCGATGTGGTGTTGCAGAGGCACCAAAAAGGGAACCAGCCAGTTGGATGGGGTCCAAGCAATTTTGAGAAGCACCCTTATGCCATTGGCCAACAAAAGTGGTCTTGAGGGGGGCCAAGTCTGGAAAAGAAAACAGGTCGAACGGTGCTGGGATGCGAGCGCCCTTTTTTCGTTTTTACATGGGGTCTTATTTCAAGTGGCAGAGGGGCTTCGGTTGGTTCCCTCGTGCGCTCGCAATCCATACAATTCAATCCGCGCGATTCGTACTGACCCAAGCGGGGCATTTTGTCATCGCAGTGAGCCCTTGGAGACCACAAGAGCTTAAAAGTTGACAAGAGATTACAAGTTGACAACAGATTAATCAACCCCAGTTTATTAACAGGGGGTGGGGGCCTCTCCTGATTTCCCACTCAACCCCGGGAAACGCACCCCCCTATTATATAAACTGGGGTTGATAAATATGGGGTCAACATTACCTTTCCAGGGTTGACTCTTTTCGATGTCCTTTTGGCAGGGTCCCTTGAAGGATACTCCGAAAAGTCACCTGGCACATGTGTAAACCCGTGGAAACAGCTGGTGAAGGTGGTGTTTACTTTGGCCAAAGTAAGGAACCCTGTGTGTTTGAAAGTAAAGGGAACCCTTTGTGTAGAAACCTTGTTTCGGGAGCATTCTCCATCACCAGTTGTGCTGGATGCAACCTTCGAACATTGGGACAAGCCCCTATATATCAACTAATGTCTTGCGTGGAGATTTTACCCATCAACAGTAGGTGTCCTTGTTGGCCAGGTGGGGTGAAACACATAAATGGATTCCACTGATTGCAGTGTGGTTCTGATAATTTGCCGTTGTCATCTATTCTTCTGGCAAGGATACCTTGCCTTGAAGGGCCTTCCACTGGCTGAAATGGCGCTCAACCCCCTACGGCGCGTCGTGTCATGCCCTGCGAGCCTGCGGTGCCATGCAGGGCGCCGGGTTCCGGCCACCGAGACAGCGCGGACTGTTGCTCAATCTTGAGGTCTCCTTCACTAGCCTATACAGGGTATTTTCTGTGTACCATCTTGGCCAAGGATTGAAGCAATTGTTCTTTGTTTCCCACCAAAAGCTTGGGCCCCTAACTGTTCTTCTTTTTGTGGTGCATCAACTGTTTGGCCCTGAGGTGAGTTTTCCTTGGTAGGAGTGATGTTTTTAGGTTCGAAATGTACAGAGAAAGTTGACGACGTCAAAGGCAAAGCCTGCTTCCAGGAATTGCACGACGCTTTCTCCCTGATCACCAAGGTCTTGCGACATAGGCGCGGCTTTGACTTGAGCCTGTCTAACCTCTCCACGAAGACATCAAAGTCCATGCCCATTTACATACCCAGCTTATTTGGGTGTGGCTCATGGTTTTAGGCTTGAAGGAACCCCCCGTTTTTTGGGGCACCCCATTATCCATTTGTAGGCACATGTATGTGGCATACATGAGGGGCACTTAGATGGTAACATTGTAGGACACACCCGAGGAGTTCTCGGCTGTTTTTGTTCGAAAGCCGTCGATTCGGAAGTCAGACCCAAGATGCCTCTTGCAGATCCGCCCGGCTCTCTCTCTCCCCAAGCTTCTCAGCATACTTTCGGGAAGACCTGCTGAGTGAGAAACAAGCAGTTTAGTCTCACACACAATATTCATCTTCCCTGGTTTGTAGGTTAGGAGATGCATTTAGGCTTATTGTGCCAATCCACTCAAGTGAGGCTCGATCAATTTGTGTTGTGTCTCAGTGATTCCAGGATGTTTTTGCATTTGATTCCCCTAGAGCGACTGCAAAAAAATGTGTCAATCTGCCCATTTCTCTTCGTGGCGCCCCCAGATGTGTTCTGATTGGATGACCCTTTGTTTGGGATTCCACTTGGAGGCAAACCCTGCAGTCCCTAAAAACAGGGAATCCCCTATTTGGATGGTTTGAATGGAACCAAAAGGAAGCGAATTTGGATGTCCCTAATTTTGAGAAGCATCCATTTGGGACCCGAATACCTGGTCCCACTGAATGTTCAGTAGGCACCTTGGCGAGCCAAAGAAGCCAAAGAGGAAGCTGCTGCGATCCCCTCACAGCAGGAATGTCGAGTTGCACGGGGCTGTCACAGGCGAGTGTTCCATTCCTCAGCTTTCCTCGGACTGGTCGGTTTGGTTGGTGGGAAGTTGGGGGGGTGGCTTCTGCTTTAATTTACCCTCTACAAGAACCAGAGGTTGAATTCCACAAATCAGATGGTACTGTGGGGTGACGAAAGCCAATTCGCATTGGGATAAATGAGACCCTAAGACACTGCAACGATAAAGCACCTACTAAGTGGTGCGAGCTGGATGTTGTCCATGGATCCTTGGGCTCCTTCCTTGAGTAATCGAGGCTCCTTCAGGCTTGCTGGTGCTCTTTGGAGGAAATGATCGACCCATGCAACGTGTAGCTTTTGGGGAATCCGTTTTAAACGCTTCCTGAGACAAGACCCTTGAACTTCTACCGGCAAGTCATTTCAGAAGCTGTGGACTCCGCTGGGAAGGGTGGGGTGGCACCGGTGAGCGCTCACCAGGGTTTTGTCAACTGGAGGCGACTCGGTCCCGCAAAAACCATGTGCTGAACAAGATTCACTATAACAACCTGGCTGCTTAAGCCTATGAAAATGTGTTTTATTTGTCCGTTGGTTTGAAGGGAATCGATCGCTCATGGGACGCCCTCAGATTGGTGGTTTCCGGCCGTTGTATTGTTTGGGTGTTTTTGTTCGAAACCGCAATTTACAGGGAAACTTGAGGACTTCAATGGACCCGGCAAGAGGTATATAATTCATCTCTGCCAAAATTCCCATCAGCAAGGTTCAAGTGTTTTTGATTGCTCCTCGCCAGGGATGCAGGCAGTACCGACCAGGCCCGACCTGAGTTGTGTTTTTTTCTTCCGGGATCGAACGCGCTTCCCTTTCCCTCTTCTCTTTTTCTCACTCCCTGAGTTTCTGGACTTTATGCTTTTTAAGAAGACCATTTTGTGTTGTGGAAACAAAACAAATAGAACTCCTCCAGTCCATGTCAGGCTAAAAGATTCACTTCACCAGTTGGCTGCTGAGTCAAGAAAGTGGAAGTACGGAGAGAATACACTGAGCCTGGCTCAAATCATGGCAAATAGTGGAGAAGCTCATGTTGCAAATCGTTGGCAACCGTGGACCTCGCATTCGCTGCGCTGGTAGCAGACTCTGCAAGTCAATCCTTTGCCGAGCCAGAACCACTTGGGCTGAAAATCAGCAAAAAGGACTCCATATCCAGTATTAGGGAACAGCAGGAGGGGCTATCCCTAGCTAAGCCTGGAAAAAGCTCACTCCCTGAGTTTCTGGACTATGTTTTTTGGAAGGCCATGTCGGTGTTAAGCAAAAAGTATAAACTCTTTGGGCAATTTAGTCAAGAAGTGAGAAATACAAAGCACAAGCCAAGGGCTTGTTAAGGGTTTAATAGGTGACAGCCCTCCGAGCTGCTCCATGGCAAAGAGCTACACAAGAAGGCACGAAAAGGGTCTCCCGCCCCCCCGCCCCCCCGCCCCCCCCGCCCCCTTTTTGCACATCTCAACTGCAATACTTGTTTGCATCATCTCGGCAGTTGGCTCGAGGTAATACAAATGGATATGTATCCAATAGTGGGAAGTTGACAAAGCATGTCGCTTCTGGATGGAGAATATGGTGTGCTTCCCACTGGCCCCACAGATGGGGTCTGATCCCACTCGTCACATGGGGAGTCTCGGATTGAGCATTCCAATGGGTAATTTGGGGCTTAACTTACCTGGAACATTCCCACTGGGGAACCTGAAAGGGGATGTTGTCTCTCTGCGACATCTCAGGCGCAGGCGGCCAGGTCCGCCGGAAGTGGGGCCGGGCGTCGATTTTTCAAGTGGGCGCAATGGGGGAAGGTTGGGTGCTAGAAATGCTGTCCCTAGCATCTGAGTGGGCGTGTGTTTTTGTTTTAAAGGAGAACCCCCACGAAAAAATGAGTACCCTTAAAGGAAAACGCCCATCTAAGTGAAACAACCCCACTCAACCAGAAAACCAAAGTAAAGTGAGGTCAAGTAGGGCCGTTCCTTGTTCTCTAGACAGCCACCGTATGGAGAGTACCAACGCCATAGTACAAGTAAGGAAATCGAGGCTACTCACCAACAGTCCAGTTGGGGACGTGAAGATTGACTGTCGCATGAGGTTTGCTTGTAAGATTGTCTCAATTCATACTTAGTTAATGAGTTGATGTTTGGACAGCCTTTCAAGCTAGATGATGCCGGCAAATCCACCCTGGAGTCAAGATACCCCTCGCTTCCATCTGTGGGTTGATTTTGTGGGCTATTCTCAGTGCGAGTTGCCCCAAAGTTCGAGTTGCCCCAAATAATTCGCGGCTTTCCCAAGCACGCCATGAATATCCATGAATCAAGCCATTTGGGATTTGGCGTGTTTTCTTGGAGTTGGCACCAACTAATTTTGGTTTTCAAAGGGAAAACAAAAAGGAAAACGGAAGCGACTTCAGGTCCCAATGCTTTGCCTTGGGTGGCTCGTTTTTTATTAGGGGACCCCCGGCAAAAACAAAAGGTGTCCTTTCGTTTTACTTTAAGACCTTTTGGTTGTACGAGCTTAGTGCATTTTAGTCACGGAACCCTGTTTCGAATATCTCTTCCGATTGCTTGCACCAAACACAAACTATGGCATACCATCCAATCGAACCCTTCTGTACCCCTTGAACGGGCCACCCATGAACAATCCCTTTGATTTCCGGCTGCTTGTCCCCAGGATGGAAACTGCAGTTCGGCGCTGGCGCGACCTTTTGGTGCGCGTCTATTGAGGCATGGCTCCGAACGTGGATGCGGATATGTCGGATGACACATTCAGAAAAACTGCCAGGTGTCGATGGGCGCGATTTACTCAGCATTAAGGCCAACAATTGTCAAACATCCCGTTGCGTGGGGCTGGAAGATCGTAGCAATGTTAAGGTCCACAGAAGAACCATGACCGCAGCAGGTTACCAGAGGGGTCCCTTGTGGTCTGTAAGCTAGGGCAGATAATGAAATTGATTTGCTATCCATTCTTTATAACAATTTGCAATATATACAAAAATA